TTCTGTGCTAAGATTTTTATCTTTTATCAAAGCGAAAGTCTTCTTAAGAGTGACGATTAGCTTTAAATCACGTTAATATCATCATATATAGTTAACGATCTAAATTTCGAATTAGGTCAAGAGCCAATCAAATAAAACGCACTAAAACACATAAAAACAAATAACAGAGCGATGCCGCGGTCGCTGAGCCCGCGCCCGCTGCCAACACCCACAGTACTTCTAATTATATTGGCTTATTCATTCACAAAAACGACATTTTAAAACATATCCACTACAGTATTTAGATAAGATTGTTTTAGTAAGAAGGTGTGTCAGGATGCGTCAAATTAAATCCGTCTCTACCTACCCCACTGGGTTAGGCGTGAGTTGTATTGTTGTTTTAGGAATTAATACTAGAAACAATAATAAACATTTTGTCGACCATAAAAATGTTGTAATAATGCGTTGATTCATGTTTAATATAATTGCTAAAGTATTAATACGTGTTAAAAACTAGCTTAATTCTAAACCTAATTTGTTATTTAAAAATTTAGTTTAACATAAATGAGTAAGGTTACTTTGCAATGTGAGAAGAGAAAGGCCTATATTTCGATGTCTTTCCTATAGCAGTACAAATTACTCTAACGAGTTTTTTTACTAAAACCGGCCATTTTAAGATGACAAGTGGATCATTAATTTTCAAGAGTCATTCACCTCCTTTACAAATACCGAGGACATCGTAATGAAAAGTTATCTGTTATAAAAATATTATAAAATTATTTTTAATTAACACGCGACTGAGCTTCTAGCGGTGAGTCAAAAGCTCGATCACAAACTTACAAAGCTCGCGGAATAAAAAATGTTCTCGATATTTCTAGAATTCTCGTCGCTTGTGATAAAATGCATTCATTATTTCAAATATCGAACAGATTGACACCAAAATGTAGTCCGATCCTAAAATTAAAAAGTGTGAAGTTCAGTGTTGCCAACTTTAGTGTAATAAAATAAATTTTACACGGATATTGTAAGCCATTATATGTTCATTATGTATAACAAATAATTCAGTTTTTTGCCAGAAATATGTAGCTTATATTATTTAAATTCCCCTATTTATATCAAGAATACATTTTGAAATTGTTTTAATAGTTGGAGTATCTTGCACTGAAACAAACTTATTATAACCTCAAAATCTTAGAGTCTATGGGCTTTTTTGTTCGACATCTTACAAGCGTATACACTGCAGTAGTACCCAATGTCCCTCTCTTTGAAAAAAAAACAACCACCTAACCTAATTGTTTTAAATGTGTTTTGGTATAGCAATTGCACCTTAAACTCGTCTTTCGAGATATTAAGTCGAATGCGTTTCCAATATTTTTGACATAATAACAAGGTGATCTGTGACATCACGTCTAAGTGGCCAGCGCCATCTATCTCTCCTTAATGACACGATGTCGTAGGAAATAACGACAATACTTTAAATTTCTAACTAATGCTGTTATTAATACGTCCTTTCATTGGAAATGAAAATGATTCGGATATATTTTAAAGGATACAAGAGCGATGAGATCAAAGTATTGGTTTATTTTAATACGACTAAAAAATTTGCAGCTTTATGGATACATTTATGACAAAAGTAAGTCTCCTTGACCGTTAAGCGTGAGATTCCTTGACGTACAAAAACAAACTTTCGTATCATTTTAATTTAAAAACATAGATATCAAATATATGTTGTATGTACAGTGGAAACTCATGGTAAACCTTTTTACTACAGATCACAAATTACACCATGTGTTAGTATAGTTATGTTAATTAGTTTAGAAAGCGCAGTGGAACAAGAAACGAATGTCGTGTTGCACATTTTCGTTTCGCTGCGACGTGACCTATCTCTGCGGTACAACAATGGCGGCTCCCAATGTCCTTCACACTAGCACGCTAATTGATTATAAAGGTGTACCTTGATTCAGAGGCTGTACAATAGAAACTAACTTTAGGAAAGATAGTCTTGTTCTGTACAAGTTGTTTCCAGTTTTGTAAAATTTACATCATATGTCGTATACAGATTTGTTAATTGGGTAACCCTAAGTGAAGATTACTACTACTAAATATACACTAAAAAGCTCTAATTGCGACATCTGAAGTCATTATAACATTAAACTGATATAAAAACGGCTAAACAGTCGCGTATATTCGTCCGGTGGGTCGGTGAGTGTTTAGCCGTTTTTATATCAGTTTAGTATAATGTCTCACGAAAGTTTAAATAATTTAACATCATGGCATTGTTGAGAATTCTATCAGCCGTAACAGAACCGGTAAAGTAGACCACTCAAATAAAAAGAATTTGAAGCCGCGATTTTTATTAATAAATATTAGAGTGGTAAATGATCATTTTACGTAGATCTGAGTCAAAACAGGTCTAAAGGCGAGTGCCACTCGAGTTCTCACAATAGTTCGCAACTAGTGTTGGCTGTTGTGAAACGATTTCCAAACAATATACAGCTTTGCTAATGCTCTCCGCCTCAAGGATGCTCAGTCAATAACTTCTGTGTTACTAAACTTATAACGCAAATTTCAACAAGGGCGTAGCACGAAACTATACCACAATAGTAGGCAATTCAATAGACGCGCTGAACTTTAAAAAATGCTTCAATTTACGCATCCATGCTACGATGAGAAAGGTTATTTTAGGCTCTCGCGATATATTGAGTTAGAATTGTTAACAATAAATGTAGTTTATTTTATAACATATTTTATTTAATAGATTAAAAGATTTTCAATTTCCTATTCTACTAGATATTACCCAGTCGAACGAAACCAATCGTGCAATGTTGCCAACTGTAGTATTATTTTTATTATAAGAAAGATGTCTTTGTACCAACATAAAAAAATAATAAAAAGCCTTATTTATCTTGGTAAAAATACCCAGTAACTTAGTTAAAGGACATTGCGGGTGAAGTCATGACAGATTATTATTATAACACGAATTGGATTATATCCTTTGACCTGTAACCTATACGGCCTCCGATCAGGAGTCTTAGGAAACTTAACCCGGGGAGCTCCTGGATACTCTAAAACTATAGGCTAGATAAATAGGTCAACGCGACAAGGAAATGATTACGTAGACCTTCGTTCGCCTAATGATCTTAACTGTACTGTTCCAGAACAGAAGAATTTCTACCATAGACAACTGCACTTTTAACGCTTAAACTATAAAATTATATTAAATATTTCTCGTTATATCTTTCTCTTACATAACTATATAATAGTATTCCTATTTTGGAATAATTAAATTCCCTCACTGTTTTTTTATAAAATAACTGATAAATTGTAGTATATAGTACATTTTGGCCGCCATCTTTGTTTTTTTAATTTCGGCGTGGATTGAAACGAAATATAAAAACGTAACCTCAAGTAACATATCTGACGCCCTTAAAACTTTTTAAATAATTAAGATGATCAATGATGGCGTGATATATAATTACAAAACGAATGTTATATTAAAATCCGAACCGACTTTTGAACAGATGAGTCATGTTTACATTCTTAAAAAAGATATACATCAACGCCTATTATTACGTATTTAAAAAGAAAGAATAGAAGCAACATATTAATCTTGTGTTTAACGACGTCTTACTCGGTTGAAATATCGAATATGATAGCGAAATATTTACGGGCGTAGCGTTTCTTTGAAAAAAAAAAACTATTTTGATGCTTCTAATTCTAATGAAACAAGTCACCTGTTTGTGTTTGTTTTCGTTGCTGTCTGTGTGTATGTTCCGTGGGGTTTGTGATTAGTTATTGACGCGTGGATACAAGGAGCGCGTCTGTCAAACATCATACAGCTTTGAAATGTTCGACGGCGAAATATTGCGAGATGCATTTCGTCTTTGTGTCCGATACAGATTCGTAACTTACGTAAACTAACTAAAAGATTGAAATCTTGAATTTTTAAAACATGTTTTCTACTTTTTTGTTGATGTACCATTTGCTAAGGTCCAGGACACCTTGTGATTTTAAAGTTTGGTTCTGATTTTAACACATTTTTGGCTTTTGTTCTTGTTAATTTAAAATTGGAAAGTTTTCAACAATGATATACATAAAATCCCGATGCGATAATGTCGATGACGTCATCAAATGTTGACAAAATCCTCTTTAAAGTCATAAAGCGGGAGATCCCCTCCACAAAAGAATACATAACAACTCTTGCAGCACCGAAACACGAAGTAGACCAAAAGATTTGCAAGTTAATGAAAAAGCAATCGATATACGTGCTGTTGACTCGTATTCGTAGACTTTAGTACTTCGTCTATATTTGTACCGTTTTAATACTGTCTTGATATTTGTTTTTTATTGATTTATGAAAAAAACGTCCCTATCAGTTCTATTCTGCCAGACATCGACCAAAACCTTTGCCAAGATGGAGACTAATATGTGACCTAAAACTTTTTGGAGTGCTACTCTATAGAATAATACCGATTATCAAATCGAAATTACCCTGAATGTAATTAAATATAAATTATTACTAGAAAAAAGTACGAACTACATAATATTAAAAGTATAATTAAAAAGTAAAAAAATATTAAAAACACGACGCTATTCACAATAATACAACCACGCATACAAAGAAAAATTAATATTTCTTACATTCAGAAATTTTGTATGCATTTCTACTGTAAAATCTTAAGATATATTCTAGATGTGCGTTTAATTAAGTTTTAAATTTCCTTTCCACCAAAGTCTAATTCTAAAAAATTTAAAGTTAGACCTGCAGTTGTCATTAATATCAACCACCATTATTTAGCCAGAATTATTCTGAATTAATTTGTTCAGCGACAAAATTTTCCGGTTTAATTGCATTTATTATAAGCTTTGTTTTATATCGTCAAATCGGTTTAAACGTTATTAATCAACTTTAAAAAAACATGGTGATCGTTCCGACTGATTCGCTAATCACATTGACAATTTGCTGTCAAACAGAAAAATGCTCCGGTCGAATCGAGGCGTGAACTCATAAACTGGTCCAGAACATCCCGCCCTCGTGATCTAGTTTACGTAATTAGTTCTTAGAATATACAGTTTTACAGCAACAACGTTCATAATTGTACTGCATCACTACCGATGACCACATTCCGAGGCGAGGCTCGAAGACACCACGCCGGGGACATGACCAATAAATGAGCCGCACCCAAACACACGCCGAATTATGAAACGTAGAAAATATGACACAATGATATCTTTGCTGAAGTTCATTAAAATACCAAAAAAAGTACATCAGCACAAACGACGCCTCTGATGCAATGAGACGAAGATTCGCCAACACACTGCCAATCTAACAAGTGCCTTACGAACATCGAACTGTAAACAAACGAACAATTTAAACATTAAAAAAAACTTATTAAGACAATCGCTGGTGCTTCGAAACAATAAATAGATTAAACGAGACAAAAATAATGTTAGTCGAGGTGACGAGACAAAGTGTGAGATCGGACTCAAGCATTTAAAATGTTAGACGTTTTTCGTGGTTTAAAAAATCTTATAAAGGTGAACTATGTGCACATCGACTCGCCCGTGTTCCGGCTGCACTACTCCATTACGGTCATCCTGCTGATCTCGTTCAGCCTGATCGTGACGACGCGTCAGTACGTCGGCAACCCCATTGACTGCATCCACACCAAGGACATCCCAGAGGACGTGCTCAACACCTATTGCTGGATCCACTCCACCTACACGCTCAAGAGCTTCTTTAACAAGAAGGTGGGCGTCGAGGTGCCCTACCCCGGCATCGGCAACAGCCGCGAGAAGGGCAAGGAGGACATGAACGACAGGAAGATCTACAAGTACTACCAATGGGTCTGCTTTTGCCTATTTTTTCAGGTGAGTTTAATTATATTTATGAATTCGGAACCTTTTTTTAATTCCAGCAAGGTATTTTCTATATAATCTGACACCATACCCCAAATTAAATAAAGCTACGTTTGGGTATGTATACAAGAGTAGGTACCTATCGCTAACCTGCAAGAATTTAATAACGCTTGTGATGGATTTTTAATATTGCAATATTAAATAATAAATATATGATCTTATCTTTATAATTCTAACGTTAAACCTAAAAGCGTATACGTTGTGAAAGAATGTTGCATATTATTCATACTCTGCTTGATAAACACGCTCGAGTTGCCGGAAACTGGCGGAGGAAGTGGCGCTCGATTCTTAAACAATAATCATCATCGTACATACTTCTTGTGATTGGTATTTAATGCGAAATTATAACAGCACTGGTCATGTTCTTAACTACGTATAATAAAAGTCAAAACAAGGACTAGAGTTCTTTGCGACTTGCTTCTTTTATATTTACTTTAGTGGGACAATTATTACCATAGTACCTACAATAATTGTCTTTTTAGTTCATCTTCGGCTTTTTTATGAAAGAATTCTCCCCCAAATACTGAACTTAAGCAATATTTTCTTTGTCATTTTATCGTCAGCCCATAATTGCTCCGAAAAAAATGTTGATATTGCGCGTTTTCTTTTCTCTTTTGTTCGATCACGCTCTCAACAAGGAAGCGTTCAAACGAAACGCTAATTAACTGAACATAAAGTAAACTGCCAAAGAATATTAGTAGGTTAAACTGCTATAATTGAAGCGTCTGTTGACTGAGGAAGGCAGGTGAATCGCAACGCCTGTCGCAACATCAAGGTGCACGTTAAAGCTCAAATAAAACAACGCCCGTTATTTTTAGCCGTTTTACAACGCGACCCGTTTCACAACGATTTTTTTTTATTATCTGTGCTGTTTTAATGACGCGCTAACTCGCGATTATCTCGGCCGTTAATCAAAACTGGGATTCTGGATATCTGGCGATCAAAATATTTTGATATTGTCACACACAACGGCAATTGTGACCGATTGCAAAATAGTGACGTCACTTCCTGATTACGACGGTGGCGACATCTACGCCACTTGTACATCGTAAATTAAATTATGAATGTTCCAAGTTCTAATTTCAAAATATAAGAATTTTTCAAATCTGGTTCTGTGGTTCCGTAGACTATTCAGTGGAGACAAACAATTGCTTTCTGTTTTAAAAAAATGTATAGCATGTTTGTTGCAGTGACATAACATTTTATTTTACACTGACTTCAATATTTAGGTAAATGAGTCTTCGTTAACTTTAAAGGCTAACACGTGTCCTGTTTAAATTAGATGTTCATGTATGCTAAGTGGCCACTAATCCTGTTCTTGGCTCGCGGAGATTGTACAAAGCCAACAGACATGTAGCCTCCATCAACAAAATTAAAACGACAAACTATACAACAACGCTGTACCCCTAATTACGCGACCTCTTTGCTTGTACTTTACGATTATGGCGCGAGGGCTGCGTCGCATTTGTCTTCAGAAAATTTAACTTAAAAAAAAAACAATATTCATGGATAAAAATTTGTCAATATAATACTCAAGTCTTTGTAGTCTGAGATCCATAGATAAAAAGGATGTCCCGTAATGAATTGGTAAACACTGAAACTCCTAATAATTCACAGACTACCGTTATGGTGTTTATAATGTGGCTGAAACAGAGAACAACAACAAAATCTCAAATTATGCTTACTAACCTTTTTACGCGCAATTACATGAATTATTTTCAAACACTAAACTCCCATTTCTCGCGAGTGCCAACCCTTAAATCTGTTCCAAACCATAGATAATATTTGTATTCATACGCTGTACAAGAAGTAAACAATAAAAATAACTAGTTCATTATCCGCGTTCAGTCGTCTCTCAGTCCGTTGTTTTCATTAGGACCGCCGCCGCGCCGGAAGACATGGGCTATGCAAATACTTACGACATGCTAATGCCGGCTATGTTACAACTACGGTAAAGCCCCATTTCCACTACAACAACTCGAAGTTTTTTCCTACGTTGTAAACTGCTTAAAGTGAAATTCAATACAAATATAATAAAAGAGTTTCATTGGAAAAGTGGAATTATGATTATAAATACACAACAACAAATCGAAGTCAGTAAGTTCCCACTTGAATAATATACGAAAATTACCTCAAGAAGTTTTCATTTTTGTTTAGCTCTCATATAATATTTCTTTAAATATTGCCGTCTTATTACCTAGTTTATTGGATTACATCAAAATTTCTCATTAACCTATTGTAGCCGTCTTCCTATCCACTTTGATATGACAATGTTTGACACATGTTTTGGCGATGTAAACTCGCGATAAACTCTAAGCATTTGCCTGTCTAATGAGAGTGGCGCATCTAACCTTCAGTTAACGTATTAACGAAGACGAGTCTCTCGTAAACTGCGCTCAAACATTGATAATCCAATGGTATTAAGATAAGCCGAGATTACGCAGCGCCGCGGCGGATGCGTTTTTAATAACCCACCTCATCTGTGCTCGTATATGAATACCTCTATTAAAATATAGCTTTTAATATATTATGTTAATATATAAAGGTCATTAAACAGAGTTGATTAGAAAGAAATTACAAGTCCTCAGCACGGGCGTAGAATACCAACATAATAAATGTAGACTCTGTATGTATGTTTATATGTTGGTACTCAGATGGCAGAAAAATATGGCTCGGATGTCTCTTTTATTTCATCAAATGATTATGTTTGTGGAGTGTTTATGACATTTAATCTTTATTTACTACAATTTTTAAAATCTCTTTGTTAAAATTTTAAAAAAATACATATAATGTGTTTGTTATAACGAAAGAAGGTATTAAAATGTTTGTCTGTCTGTTTGTCAGCAAATCCGCGTTTTAGGTATACGGGCTTAGGTATACGGGAGTAACAGACAACTTTTTTCTTTTTTTTAATTTTACATGGACAAAGTCACTAATAACATACAGCATGTGATTAAAGTCCATTTTACTTTTTTATTTAAATAAATACTTTACATGTGTCGTTAACGCACGTTTTTCTATAGTCGCGCTGGTGGACTCGTACCTTAAGACACAATGATCGAAATAAAAAAGGGAGTAAAGCGACCCGACTCCCTAATAATACTACTTAGCATTCGGCGGTCGGTGTTGGGTCGCGACGCCAGCGCCCCCGACGTCTGCCTCGGACCCGACTAATGCTGTACCATTTACACTAAATTTGCAACTACAATGAATATGTTTTTATAATATTTTGACAGTTTTAACAAAAAGAGAGTAAACAATGATTAAATTTTTTTTATATTTTTTTATTAAAATAATTAATGTATTAAAGTTAACAACTAAAGTAAAATAACATCCAATTTTATAGATGTGTCTTTTTCTTTTTAAATATGTAAATGTTGTCTACTCTATGAAGCTTATACTCTATGAATACCTCGAATGTTCTTTATAAGTTTTCATTTTAAAAATCAAAGAGTAAACAATGACCTTTATATCATAACATAGCATTTCATCACAAAATGTTCACTTAGCGTAGCGAGGTCTCTCTGCAGGGTTGCCATGTACAACACGAAGACACAATATTAATGGACACGTTTGTTATTGTGGCAACACTTTAAACGTTATTAATATAGTATGTCAGAAGATTTTATTTATTACTCCTCAATTGTTGTGTAAATAAATATGAAATCATAACTACAGATTTAATTTTTTAAATTTCGTATGCATTCAGTGAAAGCGCACCCTAAGATTTTCACAAGTGACTCAAATGGGGCCAACGTCTAATAAAGTATGAAATTTGCATATTTTAGTGCCACTAACCCAGCCCTATATTTTTAGTCTCAAGCTCAGCATATGTAATAAATTATCGTTTTAATCCGATATCTAGGTTCAGAGTGACCGCCCTAGCTTGCGCATTATCTCGCCAGATCTATTTTATTTCAGTTAATACAGCAATTATGGATATATTGTTCCGAATCTTGCGAGAAACTTGACATTATAATCTATGCCTTTATCATCCATGCTGGCTCAATGAGAGTTGATTGACTTCACACACATCTTTGAATTTCTTTTATATATATGCAAGATGTGTCACGATGTTTTCCTTTACATGAACTTATCATATCTTACTAATATTATGAATGCGATTGTTTGGATAGATGTTTGTTAGAATGTATCTCTAGAACGGCTGCATGGATCTTGCTGAAATTTAGCATAGATGTAGACCATAGTATGTAAGAACACAGAGGTTACTTATTGATTTTTTTTAATTCGCGGAGTCGTGGACGACAGCTAGTTATGTATACTTTTAAAACTTCCATAAAATATAATAATATTCGTTAACAAATTTTAACATTGCCTCATTATATCGTTATTTCAAGAGATGGAGCCTTAATTAATAATGTGACAACCCTATCCGTTCTTAATTAATAATGTGGCAACCCTATCCGTGTATAATTATCATGTATTGGAGGTTGTCCCTTTTGATGTTTACTTTGTGAAAAAAATATTAACAGACTTATGTGATACAAGCAATTGGCAGAAACGAAACGCTTTTGAAACCAGATACTATGCTATAAAATTATTTATATTTTTATAGCTAAATGAAACTATGGTTACGGCTTGAAATATTCGAATGAACCGTGTTATTTTAGTACATGAAATGATATAAAATATTGTTAAATAATTGCGAAAATATAGACTCTAATACGCACACAGAAGCAATAAAAATGTATCGAAAATATAAAGCATTTTAGCATCTAATTAAGAGAGATAAATGATGGCTTATAATTAGCAGTTGACGAGCATGCTAACAATTTGAAGCAAATCATTTATGCCATCTTAAGTCCTATATTCCAAAAAGATATTCCTTTTAAAAACCTGACATATTTCTCTACTAACCGGCGCCGTAAACTCAACAAACATGATTAAATATATAGTAAAGAATTCATTATGTTTGCGCACGGTCGTGCCCT